GACTACAGGAGGGAAAGCCCAAGGATTTAACTACTGTCAGTGACAGCTTCTGGACTAATGCTGACATTAACAGCACGATTATCTGTGGTTCAGAAGGTATGTTACTGAGTTCTGTTGTGTCCGGAATGCTTGTCTAGCATCCAGATGATGACAGACATTCACTGGAAATCCACACTGGTTGAAGACAGGATGATTCACAAAATCGTTAAAATAGTTGACTTCCCTGTAGTCTGTCTGGTAAACGTTCTTCCTATGATCAGGTTTTCAGCAAGTAGGAGAAACTGTTTTCGCCCACATACAGAGAAATAAATCTAATAAAGTAGACTGCTTTGAGTTTACTTTTGCAGACTGTTAGGTATTAGTGCAGTATCACGGCATGTTAGGAGATTCTTTGGCTCTTGTATTTTTTTTCACCTTTTAGGATGTTAAATATGTTTTTTAAGGAGTTTGGTGATGAGAAGCCATACACTATTGGATTATTCTAGTTCCATAATCTGTTGCTTACATGATGAGAAGATGGATTTCTTGGTAAGTTTGAGGGCTCTTTAGGGAGATAAAGTTGGGAATTATCTCCTGTCCTGGAATCACCTTATTATAGCTTTAATAAAAATGAGCTCTATGTAATTTTTGGATTGATAAATCACTGACTTCTTTCAAACAGCTGGAGACTTGTAAGCAGTTGAGGGATATAGCTATACTAGCAAAAGGGCTGATTTATCACCTGAACTAGCAGGTGAAGCAGAAGGGAGCCAGCATACCTGGGCTGCCTAGATCCAGCTCACATCCAGCCCTTTAACATACCTCTTGCCTGTCATCCTGTGTTTGTGAAGTGTTCCTGGAGCTTTGGTGCCTTCTTTCATCATGGTCTATGATACACCTCTTATGACCTTCAGCTATAGAAGGGCATTTGTTTAGGCTTACGCTGTCAGGAAGGTTGTGCACCCTTCCCTTTGGCTTTTTCTTTGGTATTACTATGTGCCTTTCCAGAAATCTATGGAACATGTTTTGCATGTGAGGACAGACATGAACATCAGAGATAGAAATCTATACGTATTTTTCAAACTAGGATGAAAAGCCTAAGAGGTAGAATATCAGGGACCTTCAAATCTGCATTTCTAGGCTAAGGCTGTCATATGGCCTAGTCTCCCTCAACACACCTTGTGCTCCTCCTAGAAGCACTATCAGGTCACAGTTTGAGATTTGTAGCCATCTGTTAGTAATTTCTGGATGTCCAGAAATCACTGACTTTTTAATTGCCTGTGTACTGTAGTTCCAGTGTATTCTGGATGAAAACATCAGCCAAACAGTGTATACATTGGAGACCTGATGTCTGGCATGCAGATCTACCTAGTACATGGATCTGTCTATCTTTGAAATTCCAGACAAAAATATGGTAACATTATTCCATTTTGTTCCTAAAAACTTCTAAGACAAGATATTTTGTTTCAGAACAAAACCTTTTGGGATTTCTCCTCAATTGGAATTATGGGTTTATATCTGCTTTTTTTGTTTATGGAAAGAACAGTGTATATATGTTATTTTTTTCTTAATATTGACATGTCCTTCTGGTTGCAAATCTTAATTTTCATCCAAGTAATCCCATATAAGTCACTGCAAAAATCTGGAAAGCAGACACACTAACAACGTGTAGGGTATTCTAGGTATCATAGCATACATACACAAGGGAAGCAGATTAAGCAGGTATAAGCAACTTCTGATTTGGAATTTCCTAAGTCCTGAATGCTTTACTTTGCAATCTGATGTTCTTTTCCTGAGGAATTTTTTGATGAAATTTCTTAACTTTATTTTCTAAATGGAAAGACAAATGTATATTTTGTTTAACAGTCAACAAAAGATATTGTTGGATTTGGCAGTAGAACTGTTGAACTCTGCAGTACATTAGTGTTCCCTAAAGTGAATTTTCGTATAGTCCAACTAAAATGGGACTCTGTCCACAATGATGGTCATATGCTTGAATTTTTTATTTTTTTTTTTCCTGTGTATTGGCAAGTATTATTCCTAAAATCATCATCTTGCACTTTTTGGGTTGTCTACACAACTAGAATGTTTCCATAACCTTTTTGTATTTAATCATAGTACTAGTTGGATGAAGGGCAGTTTAGCTTTTGGTTCTGTTTTTCCTATTAATCAAAAATTTCTTGACAAAGACCATACAGTGCAAACTTTGGTAGATTCTGTCGTCTAAAACATAGTCTGCCTGGTTGAGTTCTTGTATGTCAGTGTTCTCCACCCCACAGATGTTGTTCTTAATGTCTTTAAGAAGTTTCCAAACTGCAGTGTGTGGCGAGTTGCCTGATCTGTCCTGTGGTCTTGGCCTCACTTTGTTGTTTCCAGATGCTTCTTAAGACTCCCAGACTTTTCATAGCGAAGGACCTAGAAGCCATATGAAATTCCCATGCTTATATTTAAAGATAGTTAGAATACATTAGGTATTTCCTTTTACTATTTTTCCTGTAAGCAGTTGCCACAAGGAGATTATGCAATTTTGAGAAAGCAGAGAGATGATCCACATGATTGTGAAAGAAGAGAGGAGATTTTTGTGAGAATATAACGATGTAATCCACATGGTGGAAATGTTTGGAAACTACCAGCTTGAACAAAAAATGGGCTGCCGCTTGTGGCCTGCTCTACCCTAGTGTCTTTGCCAACTTTTATTGTTATGGAGCCAGCTCAGTTCATACTTGCTGCAGCTTTATCACTAAATAGCGTGCCTGTGCCCACAATCAGAAGACAAATAAAACTCCTTTTTCCAGGACTTTCTCTGCACATCATGTTGATTTGGATTTGTTTTCACTTGGATGCCTGTAGTGCGTAGGGAGATAACACTTGCTACTTCTCTCCCTATGTGCGCACATCAGCTGAAGAAATAACCTTGAGCAGACGAGATTTTCTGGGTAGTTTCTGGCAACAGCAGCCTCTCGTTCAAGCAGTCCAGTTGACAGCCTAGCCTGTCTGAACTTCCAACATAAAGTTACTAGTGTTTACTAGAGACTCCAAAGCAGCTAGCTGTTGGGTTGGGACCTGGCTTGTGGGCAAGCCTTGTGTAGTCATAGGGAGGCAACATTAGACAAATGATTAGATAGGCCTTTGGAAAGGGTCCTTGGGAAGTAGACAAGCAATTTAACTCCACTGCCCTCTAAATTATGGATGTGGCCTGAGTTGTCCAAGGCTAGACTTGCTACTTGAAATGTGTTGTGGGCAAATTTGAAGCTGCAAAGAGATGCATGATAGGATGATGGACTGAAGCAGACTAAATCATACTAAGTAGATGCACTAAAGCTGCATGCTGAAGTCAGAAAGTGGCCACCTTTACACAGTGGGAGAGATGAGCTCATCTGGAAAGCATCCTCCAGAAAGTTTCATCCTGTGTGGATTAAGCTGAGGCAAGTATAAACGTTTTGCAGTGTTGAAGCTAAGTCCAGGAGGCATCATGAGTCAGAGCCCTCACTCACTGTGCATTAACAGAACCTGAGATGAGTCGTGGCTTATGTTAGTCTATGGGACAGTGAAATACAGTGGTTGAGGAGTGGGGTGAACGTACTGTAGAAAATAGGATTTTTGGTCACAAATCTGAGCACTTCAGTGAGTCAGGTCACAAATCTGAGCACTTCTGAACCATCTTCTGGTGTCTCCACTGATGGAGACTCCATAAAGGCAATCTAGAAAGATTTCTTCAGCATCTAAATGGACCGTTAAGAGGATAGTGTGAATGCTCTCACTATGTAAGCCAACCGTGTTCTCTTAAACAGGTCTATCTTTGCATATTATTTTTTCACAATTACATTTTACAGTACAATCAAAAGACCACCAGTGCTTTACAGTCAGAAATTAGCATGACAACATTGTGATGCAGTAAATAAAGTATACCCTAATCAAGGATGTATTCGCACAGAAAGATGGCAAAGAGGAGTGCTGGATGAATATTTGCAGTGCAATAACAAGTTTCTAATAGTAAATACATGCTGGATAGCTTCACACAGAAGCTCGAAAAGCTGATTTGGAACAACTAGACTAGTTTTGGCACTGATTCTCTTGTTTTTTCAGAGTACTACCACAGACTTTTGTTAGTTTTGCTAATTACATTTAACCAAGTATTTTTATTTTGGTACTACCCAGTAAAGCTCATCTAGCATTAAAACAATGTGGTAATTAAGTTCCATGTAACTATTTACTTTCAGCTATATTACGTGGGCATGAAAAAGTAAATCATCCACATTATTTCAGTAGGAATATTTTACTTAAAACGTAGTGGGTTGAGTTACCATTTGGTATAAATGGATACTGAAAACAATACAGCAATAGCAAATGCTGTGAAGTTGAAGCATGGCATGCCAGAATAATCTGTGGGTGTAACACCTCATCCATCAGCAGAGTTTCCTGAAGGAAGCACTTGGCTTTCCATGTCCTTTGTTCAGAATTTTGTTACACAAGCTTCCTGGTCAAATAACTATGGAACAGCAAACTGAAATTATGCTGAGCAGGCACTAGAGCTTTTAAAACTGTTACTGTATTCTTTTAGCCTGTGACTATTTTAATACATATGGTTGTCTTCCAGGTCAGAAAAACCACCAGTCATAACTTTGATGTAGCAAAGCCGTGCAACAGCCTTGTTGAAGTACTTGTGTATTTCATTAAGTCTGTCTATGTATAGGTGATGTGTCTTGTCAAGTCACATGGCAACAAGTAGAACAGATTCTGTTGGTTTAGTTAAACTAGTTCCTCTGCTGTGACTGAGGGTAGGGTTTTGTTCCAGGTGTGGAATTCTGTGTTTTGATATCTTGAAGAAAGTGTTTTCATTATTTGCATGGGCCAGGTAAGGAAAGGATGGGTATTGTTTCACACAGATAATATTGTTGTATACTTGTAAACACCTCATGTATAACATGCATTTATATAAACTTACATTGACACAGAGGTACCTTGTTGTCTAAAGAAGTATGATAAACCCAAAGTTTGTCTTTTTTTTTTTTTTCTTCCAGATCAATGCAATCCGATTAATTGTTCCAAACAAAAGCAATAATGAGATAGTTCTGGTGTTGCAGCAGTTTGATAACAATGTAGACAAGGCTGTTCAAGCTTTTATGGATGGTGAGTACAGTGTGACTTTTTCACGAACGCACGAGAGATTCAGTTGCATGCTAAAGTATTCATTGTCTCTGGTGACTCAAAGTATTTTCTGTTCTGCTGAAATTCAGATGATTGTGACAGTTCATTTTTTCTAATAATTGATCCCTCTGTATCTTTGCTTCTTCACAGTATGAGTTTGACATGGCTGTTTATCTGTTCTACCTGACTTTGCCATTGTTTGGTACCATTCTTGTTGCAGACCTACTTTATTCTGCATGAAAGTTAATGCTCTTTGAAGTAAATATGTCAGAATATGATTCACTATTGAAGATGCAGTAACTAACAAGAATTTGGGATAGTTCTGAAGCAGATAACAAGGCCCCTAAACCTCTGAACTTGATGCATACATTGACATTCAAACCTCAATCTGAATTTTGCAAATAGCCTTGACATTTATAATGGCTGAACCAAGACTCCATTGAAAGTTCAAGCCATTCTAAATCTGGATGTGAGTTTGTATTTTGCATCCTAAGACCATCTCTAATGAAAGGTCACTTGTATTTAAATAACACTTTCCCAGTAAATATGTAATGGCAAGTATTTTGAACTTTCACCAAAGTCTGTAAGAAACCCTTTGCAGGAATAATAGCGTAGCATGAGCAAATCCTTCAAAAATCTTTGTAGCTTGGGGCTGCTTAAAAGATACTAGAAGTTCAGCAGTCTCAGAAATCCTGTATATCTTAAAAATGCTTCATAGTGTTGACTTGCCATCTCTCCAAGTTATTTATTTCCTATCTATTTTACTTCAGAATAGTTTTGGGTTTGGTTTGGATTAATTTATTAAAATTTATCAGCCAAAAAGCATCATGTTGTACTAAGAGTTGCTTACCAATATGCAAAAAGCAGATGCAAGCAAACTGAATGATTCATAAATGCATCAGAATTCTTACATCAGATCTGTATGGTGCCTCTTGATTCGGGTGTCTGAATAGACACAAATTCTGATAAATGTATGGAAATCAGAGTTTGTTTGTGCAACACACTCAGAAAGGAAAATGTGATGCATCTAATTAACAATAATCTTTTTTCCTGTAATATATGTCCTGGGGAAAGTAGTGGAGGGTTGCTCCATGATTATTCAGTAAGTTCCTTTCATTCAATTTATTTTGTCTTAAGTTACCATTGCTCGCTTGTGGTCTATGGTTTTTTCCCAATTGCTTGTCAAAAGAGGAAGTGCTTTCGTAGCCATGTGTCACCTGCTAGGAGGGAGAAATAGGGCAAAAGCTAGCCTTGCAAGAGTGTAACAAAGTCTTGAAGAAAAGCAAGCTGTTGGAACCTGAGCTCAAATGATCTTTGTTTGAACTTCACCAGTTTATGATCATTGTGCCTTGAGTTCAGAAGTCTTTGCAAGTGAGCATTTGAAAACACAATATTTTTGACTGTCTGGAAACAGTGTGAGAAAAGACATGTTCATTCAGTTGCTGCTGTAGATAGAATGAATTTAGCACTTAGAGTATCTTTTCACGTGACTGATAAAAATTGTTACGATTGAAATATTACAGTCGCATGAAACGCATTGCTGCATGCAGTGAAAAACGTGGGGATGGCTGTGCTGAGCAAAAAGGCTGAGCACCTCCAGTCAGTGCTTCTCTCGGAGATGCTGCATGCCAAATCAAGAAATGTTCAAATTTAGTTTCCTGAGATCAGTTCCTATCTTGCTTCACATCTGGAGTGGCATATAGGTGATGTCTCTACTACGAATTTACTCCTATATGTGAAATTTGAGTTAAAATAGCAATTCAAATGTATTATTTACTATGTTAGAGTTTACCTAATTAAGCATAATCAGAAGGTCTGTTCAGCTGCTTCGTAGATGTGTTCAAGAAAGTATACTGGTGCATTCAGATGAGGGCTTTGGGACTTGCAGTTAGTCCATTTCCAACAGGAGGAAATGGGTTAGTTGGGTGAATCCCTAAAATAATTCTCACCATGCATAGTATTCACAGGGAAGCTGAGAGAAGCAAGCTAACACAGCACCAGCCAACACAGTGTTGGACGATACTGTGAAAACAGTTAACAAAGCTGTCAAGTGAAATCACATATTTTCAACAGCATCGAGTAAAATGGGCAGCAAAAGTCTGGGTTTATTTCTTCATACTGAAACATCGTGTCTGTCAAATGATAGCATACCTTTAGGAGGGGATTTTATTTATGTGTACATGAGTATGTATGTGTATAACTAAATACATATATGGTTATACACATAATAGAAGTTTTCATAGCCTTCTGTCTGCATTGTCATATCATCTAGGAAACAAAATATGGTTTTGATGAATTCCATACACATCTTTTCACAATTTAACAAATTAGGCGTAGCACTGCTTGCAAGACATGTAATCTGTTCTAATGTGTGTGACAGACTCACCAGATAATCTTGGATCTGGATTATTGTGATAGAAAAATTATTTTGGTACATTTGAAAACCTCACGTGTCTGGCTGAATACAAGTTGATAATTCATGGTGGTCTGAAAACAGCATTACTTCTTAATACTAATGTCATGAAGAGTTCACTGAAATGAGTGAGAATGGCTGAGTATGAAACCCATTTGGAAAGGATAAGAAATGAATATTAGAATTATGCAGTGATGGTAAAGTGATTCTTTAAATTCAAGCTGAAGACACCTAACCTGCTTGCAGTTAAAAAGATTTTGTCAGATACTGCCATAGTAGTTTGGATGATGCTTCAGACTGCTTACCATGAGAATGCACTTTCAGCTTTAGGGTCGAGGAGAACAAAAATGATGTTGACTAGATGCAGAAGAGTTTTCTTCTAACATGACAGCTGGCACTGGTCTGAACAAGGGTCTGCTTGTTTTGTTCCATAAATTTATCTAACCAACTTAATAGGGCTGGCAGAAAGAATTTCAAGTATACAACATTGTAGTCATTTTTCAATATAAATGTTTTACCATTTTTTTTCTGCCAGCCCTAAGTTTACTGTGTTTGTGTGATGCAGAATTTCTGTAGGAGTCCATAAAATTACTCTCTTGGATTCTAATTAAGTCTTCATTTTTATGTTCTTATGTCTTCTGAATATGACATAACACATAGGACATGTATGATAAAAATCCCAAGAGATTTAAAAACTTTTGGAAGCCTTAGAGTCAGGGTGGACTATCTAGTCTACTCAGTGTTTATACTAGGTTGCGGAGATGCTTCCCTTTTCAGGCAAGGGATTTGAGTGTTGTTTTTTCTGGGGCTTATGCTAGTGCTTAAAGTTAGGCACCCACTTTGTGGAATGAAGGCCATAAAAAGCAGTAGTGCCAAGTAGCCCATGCACTGTACATAGTGTAATCAGACAAAATGGGTAACTAAAAAGGAGAAAGGTGGTGGAACCCATTTTGTTCTCCCCACATAAGAGAATTTGGAACAACTAATGGAAATGCTGCCCAGATAGGAGACTAGAAACTGTTCTTGAACACTCTTGTTCATTTTCACAGATGAGCTTTTGTTGAAATGTTTCATCTTTCCTTTCTCTAGGCAGTGCCACTCAGGTTCTAAAGGAATGGAATATGACAGGGAAGAAGAAGGTAAGAACTTGCTCTTGAGAATCGAGCATTCAGACCTTTTATCAGCTGTCTGGTTGAATGTGGTACTTTTATTTTGGCCAGTACCTTGTCTGCATTTGCTAACAACATAGGTGACTTCATTCACACCTGTGTTCAGAATACTTGCAAGGAAATGTGTGTGTTTATTTTTAATCCAGTTCATCTGTTGCTGTCTCTAGCCCAGGGTTCTTAGAGAATTTCTGGGACAGCATGTGTATATATGTGTGTGAGCCAGACCCTGGACAAGTATAGAATGAATCCCAAAACAGCCCATGTGCAGAAACACTTTTAATAAGCAATTGTATCCAGGGATAGTCACAACCAATTATAGTGCTAGAGATTATGCTGCCAGGTGTAAATAAACTTATGCATAGGAGTCATCCATTAGAATGGATTAGTGACGCTATCAAGTCAAGAACTTCAAGTATATATCTGGGATATGATCTTCATGCTTATGTATCTCCAAGCTGGAGGTGTACCAGGAGACTGCCCTATGAGTCACTGTCATGGAGGCTCCTCTTCATGGTTGGTAGAGCTACAGTAACAGTGGCCAACCTATGTTCTCTGTGATTGCTTTCTACCTGATCAGAGTGATGCCTTAAGGGTTGTTCCATGTTACTTCATGGATGTCCCCTGGATGGTTAAGAACTACTTATTGTAAGTGACCGCAAACATTTTGAGCAACATAGTAGAGGCTCTGCCTCCATTTTGCAATGCAAGTATTTTCTGTGTGAGGAAGGGGAAAATCAGGTTGGGACTTCAGGTGTTTATTTGAGACTATATATTCAGCTGAATGGATGCAATGTGTTGTATAGCACAGCATAGCCTGTAAATTGCATTATACTGATGTCACTTGTATGGAATTTTTATTATTATTTTTATTTTATGGACAATTTACTGATTATATTTTGAGTTTATATGAGTTGCACTGAGTAATGTCTTTGTTCCTGCAATATTTCTCCATTTAGAACAATAGGAGAAAACGAGGCAAATCTAAACAGCATCAAGGCAATAAAGATCCTAAAACCAAGAATGGTGGACCTGAGAAGGCATCTCAAGAGCCCCAGGGAATATATGACTGTCATCTGAATGTATGCTCTAAGGACAACTCTTGCAGTGGTTCTAACGGTCAGAAACTGGAAGCTGCTTCTCTTGAGAACAAAGGATTTGTAGAGTCAGTGCTGGTCTCTCCAGAAATCACAGGTCAGTTCATGTGGCACAAGACACCTTTTTAAATGGCAATAGCCAAGCCTCGATTTACATGAAGATCATGGTATTTTTATTGCCATGAAGTGGAATAAAAAGAATGTGGAGAGAGTTGTTTGTGCTAAATAATGTACATAGCTGTTAGTCATGAAAGTAGATCTATATCTGGACACAATTCATCCTTCAGTATGTTTCCTTGCAAAATGTCTTCTTTCTAGAGACAAAAGGATCACACTATAATGAGAGGCCCAGGTGATACACAGTATTACACATATAAATACAGAAGAATGCGAGGTTAGAAAATGGCTTGAGTGTAAAATTGTGACAGAAACAATGAAATCCTTCATCTGGAACTAAGTCATCTGAGCAGTATGAGCTTGTGACATATTACAGGATTTCTTTATTGCCTAGTCCAGACTAGTCCATTTTCTCTTTTACTCATCTTGTCTGAATAGACTAGTCACAGTACATCTCTACTGGCTTTCCCTGATGGGGAAAGGGAAGGCCTTTGTGTTAAGGAAAGGCAGTCTGATAGCTTTTTAGGACATGCATGGTTCTGCTAGGGTCTGGATACAAATTCTGAAACTCTGGGGGACAGTAACACAGAAAGCACATCCCCACTGGGTTGTAGCAGATAGGGAATAGTAATCGTAGAAATGTCAATGAAAACAAGCCATCGAGTAATGATTATAGCAACATCAATTAAAACAAGCCATCTTCTCTGGGGGAGAAGCTCCATGAAAGCTTTTAGCTTCAAGTATCTTTTCATAAAGCTCATGTTTAATTGCTGTCAGTACTGATAATGGTTTTTCACCTCTTCACATTTCAAATTTGTGACAGCCCTAGAATTATTGCTTTTGTTAGTATTTTTTTCCTGTCTTCAAACAGTATGTAAAACTGCATTAAAAGAACTTTCCTTGAAATCCTTTTTTCCATGGTTGGAAATACTGCTCTCAAACCTCATTTTAAAGGAATGTGCCAAATGGATAATTTTTCTGAAAGTAATTCTCTGCTGCTTTCAGATGACTTTGGTGCCAACCTCTAGTCAGTTAAATAAAAACTCTGCAAGCTATAGCAGCCAAACAAATGAACTAGTTATCCAGAAATTTTGTCCTAAGAATTTGGTGCCTCACAAATGATGAGAGATACTCTTCCTGCTCTTGCTAAAGACTCCCACTTACTTTGGACAGAATATGCCATATGCCAGAAAATTCTGCATTTTCATAATACTAAAAGCATTCTTGCCACTTATGCTGCAAGACATAAGCATTAGTGGTATAAATATGTCAAATTCCCATGTCAAACTTAAGAATTGCTTTGTTGAAATGATACATGCATGAATAAAGATACATAGACTGAATTGTCCATGCATGGGGAGTGTTTTCTGGGAGGTAACAGACCTGAATGCAAGAAGAGTACCCATGCTCTTAAGTGATCTACTTCTGTGGCAGTGGGATTAAGTCCCTTTTTTTTTTTTTCTTTGACATGATGTACTGTAAAGTTGTACATACCAAGGTGAAGAAGTATTGCAGAATATTTCTTTGCTTTTACAAGTGACAAACAAGATATTGCCATAGCTTTACAATTTTTATAAACTTTTGCACATATCCCCTGTTTCAAAAAACGGGGAGAGAGGGATAAAATTTTTTAAAAGGTGGAAAGGAAAGCAAATGGAGAGAAAGGAAAACCTGAAATGTGAATATTCAAGTTTCCTTTGCATAGTAAAATAAGTTCCTGGCAATTTGTATAATACAGAGAAGGAAGGAGTTTCTTCTTCACTGCTTGTTCCAGTTGTACTAGAACTTGTCCCTTGTCAGGATCCCTCAGGGGCCAGCAGCTGCACCTTTGTTTCTGAGCAAGTCACACAGACTGTTATAAAGCTGTTTGAAATGCTGAAGCAAGTCCAAAGTGCACCTGTTTTATATTGCTCCCTCTTTTGTTATTATCTTCTTTGTTTTGTCCTTGTCTAGCTTGTTTTGGTTCCTTCCATATTGATGTTGCTGTAGTCATTCCACTGTCACCTTCAGATAGCTCACAGTTTAGAAGGATCATAGTCAGGTGTCTGCTGACAGTTCCTTATGCTTTCCTCCCCATGAAGAATATGAGGTTGAAGCTTTGCTCACAGTCTGTGAGATTGTCTTTTAGGGCCATAAAATCCTGGCTGCCTGGAAGGGACTTCAGGGACCAGAAAGGAGAATGCAATGTAACTGATGTTACTCCATAGTGTGTCCCATGCTAGAAAATGATAGGGGATGTTACAGAAGCTCTCAAATAAACAAGGAACCACCAAAAATTAAGAATTATTGTTAATACAATTAACCAGCTCTCCATAAATTACAGGTTCAAATGTCTGTGAGAGGAGAACAGAATGACTTTCTAGGGTTTAATGACAACCCAGAATGCATAACAAAGCCCCACTCCCTAGGTTTAAGGACAACCCAAAGCTTTATCGCTCACCTGACAAGTGAGGGCTCTGAACCTCGAAGACCTGCTCAGGTCAGCATCCTGGCCCAAGGCACCCTGAGGAGTTTCCTTGGCCAGTGACCTGACCCAGGGGGAGAGTCAACCACAGCTGCTGCTCCAGGGGACGAGCTCCAAATGGCTCCCCAGGGGCCTCCATTTATACCCAGGTGAATCTGACCTGTAGTCAGTAGTGGCTCCCATTGGCCAGAGGCCCCAACTACCATGAAGCCCCGAGAGCAAAGGCAATCAGGAGCCACTACACTTCAGTGGTCAAGAAGCTCTGCTTTCATTGGGTGGGTGCACCTGCCACAGGGTAGAACACATGGCTATTACCTTTAGCTCAGGTCTGCTTATTTCTTGCCTTTATTCCATCTTTTTCTGAGAAGTCTTTAGTTGTTGCTTTTTGTGTGATGGTGTCCTACAGGGAATCAAGACCTAGAGAAAATGAAGCACAGAATCCAAGGCCCTGGAGAGCCAAATTGCCTCATCATGGGAGGGCCTTAGGGAGTGTTTCACTTAATTATGAGTCAGTTCAGGGGCTCTCCCTCTCAGTATCTTGAAGGGGAAAAGGCCCCAAATAAACCAAATTACTTCAAAATGATGAGCAAACCCTCCAACTCTCCTTAGAGTCCTTGGCAATCATAGGATCTCAAAGGCATGGATCTACCCTTTCTGTGCATGCCTTTGTAAAGAAGGGGCATGATTGCACTGAGAGGATATATAATGCTGCCTTGCTATGCTATTGCTTTTGCAGGGACTTTGGTAACACTAGATACGAGTCAGGTACTGATCTCTAGTCTACTTCTAAAATTTGTTTTTCATGTAGGATGATTTTTAGTGCTATAATAGTACTATTTTGTATAAGATATTTATCTGTTTGCAAACTCACATTTTAAAGCCCATAAACAAAACCTCTTTTAGAAATGTGTACACTAATGTTCCTCCTTGTTCCTCTGGTGTTATTCCATTGCCATGGAAACATGCCAACATGTACTTTACACCTGTCCTAGTGCCCAGCCAGGGCACAAAGAAGTCACTAGTTGATAACCTGGAGCTGTCCAGGTGGTAGCCCTCAGTCCCAGCAGTGTTAATCCCACTCTGTGGGCTATAATCCAGTTGTTAAATTGACAAACCCCTTTTCTCCAGACACCATACAACATCATCTGAATGAAGTGATGCATAAAGAGCATCTTCAGAACAAACTATCATTCATCAAAGTGAGTACAAAGATTAGAAAAATGGCTTAACACAACGAATTATTTTCTACGCGTTTCCTTAACTAAAATTACAGTGGCAGTAATAGCTGGCCTTACCTGTCAGTTTTTATAGCCATTCTTTGTCTGCTTCTCCCTCTGTCTTGATGCTGATATCTTGAATCCATTTGGAGTCTTCAAAAGAGTAAACCAGGTTGTCTTGTGGCAGCCAAACAGAACCAGACATGGTTATCTTACTCTTCTGAAGCTGTTGAACCCAGGAGCCTAATCTTTGACATTGTTTCATTTTGTGCTTGTTCCCTCTTAGTAGTTGCTTTTAATACAAATCTGTAGTCAGGCAAGGTAAGTATTTCAGGTAAGAATCATTAATTGGTGCTTTAAAAATGCTGATTAAATTATGAACATTTTTTGTGTGTGAGCTAGATATATATATATATATATATCTCTCTATATCTATCTATCTATCTATCTATCTATCTATCTATATCTATATATATATATATATATCAATCAACATTTAAGTCTTATGCTTTCCATAGCAGGCTTTCTCTCTAGTTCTGTTCTATAATAGTTGGGTCTTTGATGTTATGAGGTATTTTTTCATATCAGCATGGAAGAGTTGCTTTTTTTTCTGTATTGGAGGGTTTTTTTAGGCTGTCGAAATATAGTGTGTTCAGATTAGTCTTTAATAACCAAAACCATTTTGTTTCTGTTCTGTCGTTGCTTTCTGTAGAATGTTCTGTAGAATGTGCGCCAGTGAAAAAAAAACCTTGACTTTTCCAGTGTGTAAACAAAGTAATTCACACTCAACAATAAGGCTTCATATATTTCTTAATCCTATAATCTCCGGTTTTCTACCTTAATGTTTTCTTCCAGACAAAGAACAAGAACACCAGAGAGAATCTGTGGAATTAAAGCCAAAGACTATGAATGGAGTAGAACAGCATGAGTCTCTTCAGTCATCAGTTCAACTCCAGTGTAACCTAGGCAGACCAAAGTCAAAATCTTCCTCAGTGAAATCATCTAATGCTGCAACCCAACTTGAAACAAAGGCAGATGATTCAGTAAAAAAAAGAGGTAAATTGGATCTCTAGTTGCTGTATGCTGAGGTGATTAGACAGCTGAGGCCTCTGGAAAAAAAAAGATGTACATGAAGAGATGTGTTGAAAAGGGAGAGCAGAATTATGCTCAGCATAACAAAACTGAGTAGAACAATTTATGGTCTATTCAATGTTATATGAAATTTAAAATAATTTTAATAGTGCTGTTTTAACATTTATATTATTTGGGGAATGAATTTGAGCAAATAAGTTTAGAAACTGAAGAGCACCACGGAAAGATTATGGAGAAGTTGGATTTATGGACTTTTGTAGGATAACCATTTTAATCTGGGCAAATAGCATGATGAACTATTCCTGCTCCCTTATTCAGAAAAGCCAAAAAGCAGCTTTCTGACTTTTGTGCAATTTTTGTTTTCTGTTGTAGGGCCAAACATTGAAAAATCAGTAAAAGACTTGCAGCGTTGCACCGTTTCTCTAACCAGATATCGTATGATGATCAAAGAGGAAGTGGATAACTCGGTGAAGAAGATCAAAGCTGCTTTTGCAGAATTACACAGCTGGTAGGTAAATCAGCTTGAGAGAGCCATCAGCACCACTTGAGAAGAGGAGCTAATTAGTCCCCTGGCATTGGAATGGAGGGGTCACTTACACCCTGTTTGTAGCATTTGGTTTCAACAGAAAAATATGTGGTGCCATTAAGTAACTCCTCACCAACCAGGAAGTAATACATACATAAGTGTATGTTTACCTACATAGTAAAGATAAAGGGGAACAAACTACAGTTACTTGAAAAAAATCTCACTATGGTTGGGTTTTTTCCCCCTAAGTGATCCGTCTTGACTTAATTCTTTTGTATTAAGTTCAGTGGCAACATATCTGAGCAAATGAAAGCTTTCCCCAAAATGCTGTCTAGGGTTTTCTGAAGTCTCTATTACTTGCTTTAAATCTCTTCTTTCTATACTACTTCTTTGATCTTTTTGGCAGCCTGTCCTTTACTGTTGCCTCATTTCCTGTCATCTTTGCTTCTTTTCCCACCATTCTTTTTTTTCTTCCCCTGTTAGTTTCTTCTAACTTTCCCATTCATCACTTCATTTCCAGTTCTCATCTCTAGTTCATTCTTTTTCCTCATTCTTTTATCTCTTTTATCTAAATTTTTTCCATTTTAATTTTGGTTGTTCCTGATCTTTAATATATATGTCTATGAAAATTTGTAGCAGAAATAATTGCTGTAGTAGCAAGTTGCATATTTTGTATATACTTGTCATAGAAAAATATTTTCTGGTCTGAGTTTTACTCAGCCTTCTGTTATAGATACTGTATAAAACCTGTGTATTATATAGTGTTGCAATAAACAGGAAAAACTTATTAAAACATAGAAGGTTTGGTTACAAATCACAGGAGGACAGAAACGTTTCACCCTTAATTTCATATACAATATTTGTCCTTATTTTTATGAGCATATTTTATGAAAGTATACTATTGGTAGAAGCTTGTGAACTCTGGACTTCAGTGGTGTATTCACTGTCTTCAGCGATGCATCTAAAGTGACTTCAGTGCCACTGGGGCTCCACGTCTGTATGGATGGAGAGTCAAAGTGCTACTGAGCTGTTTTTGTGGAAGCTTCTGTTGCACTGAGCCGCTGGTGTACCTTACTGTCTAGCAAGGAGAACTTTGTTTTTGTCTGTGTGTTCCAGTGAACATAGGCTGTGATAACTAGTTGTACTAAACTGCATATTGTTTTCAAGAGTGCTCTGGAACTGGTATAGTGATGTCTGCTTACAAACTAAAATGCAGTAATTGTATCATTGGTATAGAAAAATTAAGTGAAGTTCATCAACCCCTTGCATGTCTTTTTGATAGTTCTCAGAGGTGTTTTCATATAATTTTAGAAAACTTTTATAAAATGTTTATGATTTCTGCGAAGAAGGCTCTGACCTTTTAATTGAGTAAACTCATAATTGTGTCTCATTTGATGTGTAGTGTTCTCAGATATTTTCTTTTTGTAAGAGTGTTAAATATGTAATGTCACATGTCTAATCTTGTTAGTAGGCAGTCACAGTCAATTCAGTCTTTAAATGATAGTCGCTCTGGTCATGGAACAGGCTTAGAAACTATGATGATCTAAGAATTAGTAAATTGAGAACTGAAATACATAATTTTACATGTATTCATGTTTTAACTTGACAAATGATAAAGTGTAGTGCCTAATGCTAAAATGTATTACTTAACAGGTAAGCCTAATAGGGAAAAAGACAAAATGACCCCAAAAGAGTATCTAGATCCAAGTAGACTTAAAATGATGAAAAACAGCCTGGAAAATTGTGAATAGGCTTCATGTAATTTTACCTCCTGCTAGCTTTGGTTTCTAAATTATTGGAGTGGAGTCTGTCAGAAGCTCTAGAATGTAACAGATCTGTGCTCTGAATATTCAGGCCTCACAAAGCAATTTCGTGCATGTAGCATAATGTTCCAACAAGGACAGTATAATGTTAGGGCATGTTTATGGAAATTTCGGTGTGGGCTACATGGCTTTTAGCAGCTCATAAGTCTAATACTTGGGCTTTTCTCCAAATGAATGAAAGGAAAATTTAGTTTAAATAGTAAAATACATGGTTTAACACCTTCTTTGCTAAAATTAAAAACAGTGTTGAGATATTTCATATGACCTTGTGGCTTAAACTCTGAGAAAGATGGGAAGAGCTGTCTTCAGTGCCTCACTTACAAGAACATGCTGTGAACTGCTGTAGGTTCACTGGATTTGAGTAGAAATTACCAGAACCAGTGATACATAGAGCTTCAGATCTCATACAGTTAACACATCGTATTCCTGGGCTGAATGGTTTAGTTTGTGTTATTTACTTGGCAGTTTCCTTGGTTCAAAGTTGAACAAAGCATCACTAGTGGTAGCAGGAGGATAAGGCAATACAGTGAGCACTCAGCTTCTTTCATGATTATCACCCTCCTTGGGCATGGGAATTTCACCTTGACACAGTCAACTTGTCTGTCAAGGGAAAATGAAGCAATTCAGGTAAAGTGGTGCTCCTAGAATGCTATGGAGTAACAAAAAGCAAGGATGGCATGACAATGATTTCTGGTTTCCTTTGTGATAGTGATTCCAAAGATTTTTGCAAGTTCTCCCAGTTGCTGCTGGCATGTGGGCTGGTTGAGATGTACAACACAGAAACATTCAACAGCAACTAAGTGCTGTCTGTGGTCAGAACCGTGGGGGAATACTCGCATGGGCTCAATACCGTAACCTAGATGGGAGCTTAACTGGTTCCTGTTACACACAGCTGTCAACACCTGAGGGGTGTCAGAAGCTTTAATCTTGTGTTGCAGCTGAATGCTGAAAGGTGTACTACTTTGTATTTTTTTGAGTTAGTTTTTCTTCCTTTGCAATAGGTGTCCTTTTTGCATTTACTATCAAGGTCATAATCAAAACTGCATTTCAAGAATCAGTAATCTTTTGGACTTTCCAATAATCTTTTTTTTTTTAATCTTTTCATGATTTTGCCAGTCATAAAAAGGATGAAGAAGTACAAAGATAACATCATATATCTTCCTCCTACTTCCAGATAGCATATGAAACCATTATTATGGAGATAAATGAATAGCACATGTGGCCTAAAATGTCCTGAAAGCTTAAGCAGAAAGATTGACAAGAACTTTTTCTTTTAGCTGGAGAAACTGTTGAATGATAGTTGTCAGTGGAAGTCCATGTCTCTGGCTCAGTTTTTCATAGCTTCACTTAACCGATGAAGGGAAGTTACTCCTAAACGCAGTCAGTAATAAGCTGTTATTTTAAAAGTCACCTATTTGGCAAAACAGTGCATACCACTCTCCCACAATCTCAAAAAGGAGTGGTATTTATCAGGTGTGTTGTGAACACCTGTAAATGCTGGCAATGCTTGCTTTCAGTTTTAACTTTTTAACAAAATGGGGCCAAAAAACAATCCCAGAAAGATGTTTATTTAAAAACACTGAAGTGGACTCACTTTCTCTTTTTTAAAGAGCCTTCTAGGAGTCCTACCAACTGAAGTAGTTCTCTGCATGCTCAGAACAAGTGAGAAACTTGCTTTTACACAGTGCTTTTCATGCCAGAAGACACCAGAGCATTTTACAGGCCATGGGCTGGACCAGGCAGGGCACTTTGACAAGTCTTTTGCAGTCTTGTGTGGATTGTGTTTCTGCTGTGATCTTCCACTCTTGTCACTCCTGCTCTTGCAGAGCTTTCTATGACATTGCTTTCCCCAAGGCTATGAGAGCGCTGGGCAGAGCAAACTGAAGGGCACCGTTTCTGAGACTCACGTGAGCACATAAAGGTTATGAGACTGATCCTTCTGGCAGTACTCCTTGAGCCAATGTTTATCCTTATTGCATCAAGCTTTGGTGTAGGATTTTCAGGAATATTTATGTGTGAATGAGAACATAAGCTGCTCAACTTATTGCTTGGATGTAAAACATGTCAGAGCATAGCCATGTCTCACAGTAGCATAGGGCAATGAAAAGAATAATACCGAATAGTGTTTAAGTTGTAGGAGAATGTCAGAAAAGCTAGGTGAGCTCCCATGTCATTATAATGTGCTTGAGACATTTGTTGCCAAGGTTAAAACCTGTATGCTATAATTGTCTTCTCACTTTTCCACCAAGGGACTGACTAACGATCTTGGGGATGAAAAGAGAGCCCTGGGAAATCCGAGTGAAATGTGTAGAGCACAAAAGGAGCCCCAGATCCCCGTAACACCTCTTGCCAGAAAATAATTTTCACATATTGGGCATCCACACAGTCATATGGAGAACTAAAAGGAAACATCTGCTACTTGCCCATATGGTCTGCTTCCAACCACAAATGGAAAATAGTTTGTAGAAACAGTAAGGGCCAGGATTAATTATGCTGCATGCAGAACTGGACCAAAGACAGACAAGCTTCCTCTGCTCTTTGCATCTCAAACACACTGGTGTGTCCAATGCTTTATAAAGAGCATGAAAACCAACACAGTTGATGATTTTATTTTTTTTTTTTGAGTGAACAAAAAGCACTTGAAAGCTCCACCATAGACTTGGATAAAAAATTGACTCTGACATAATGCTGGAAAAATGGAGTTTGGCAATACAAACAACTTAAATATGTTAAAATACATTCAGGGAACGATTATAAAGTGTGTATTGTTTGTTTGGGGAAGATAAAGCAGTTTTTCTTTTTTCTAAGTTAAAATCAAAGCAGAAGAGTAGTTGAATGGGAGAAGAAGTAATTTAAAGGAACATAGTTGTTCTATACTAACTCAGAGCTGGGTGATGAGCAATGCTGCCAGTGCTCACAGTTGCAGAGCAGTGAGCGAACACAGTCATCCCCTTTCTGGGACCCCTACTTGGCAAATTGTGGAGATGGTGGTTTTCTGTTGCCCATATCCTAGAATCAGTGGCACCAGATGAAGAGCTGCCTGTTTGCGTTAGTGATGATGGTAGTTCAGAGCATGGACAGTTGGCTGGAAGGGCCAGGACTGGTATCGCTTTACACTGAACAGTGTTCCTCTGCTGTTTATTGCTGTGTTTCCAGGTG